CCACCAATTGCAAAACAGACCCCTGAATAGCCACACATAACTGGAAACATCTTTGAGCTATGGCATCTCGTGCTCCTTCCGCAAGACCCAGGAGCTTCCTTTGCCAGCCCCAGCCTGCCAAACCCCACTCGCTGTGAAGATTTCATTTTGAAGCCATTTTCTGCTAATTAGAAAGGTTTCATTGCCGGGACCCAAATGACACGTTGTGCTCTCCAGCAGCCGGGTGTGGTGGCCACTGCATCCAGATCAGAGCCAGCTCTGAACCAAGAAGGGAGCCAGCGAGAGCCTGCAGCATCCGAACGCTGTGCTTTCCAAACCCCAGGTAAAGGGAGAGAGCTAAGATCTGGGGGGAGTTTAAATGCAATGTTTCTCATCTTCTCCAAAGTCTTTTCCTCCTTCTTTTTCCATCCCCAAATCCATTCCATTGGCAAATATTTTTCCTCTCTTGTTATTTCCTGTCTTTTTGATGAAGAAAGTTTGGAATATTTGGAGACAGCGTTATGAGGAGTAAATAGAAACAAGGGAGATGATGCCACTTAGTGGAACATAGATAATAATAATGAACAATATTCCAACAGCCATATTTGAAGTTCTTGGTCACTTTTATGACATTGTTCTTAATCAGGATGAGCACTGGGGACTTCCAAGTGTAATAAGTAAAAGATGAGGGCTGCAAAGCAGCCTGTGTTGTGCAAAGCCAGAATCAAGAGCTCCCCTTCCCATCCTGCAGATGCAGGCCAATGGAAAAGGGAATTTTGCAGAAGATTGGGAAAATTAAGGATGCAATAAGTTCAGAGCAGATGCAGATGATGGAAAAGGTGTTGTGAGCACCTCATAAGATCTGTCCAAGTGGTGCTACAGAGTAGAGGAGCAGAGAGGACAACCTCAAAACTCACCAGGTAACTCTGCTCTTGGCTTTTCTCACATCCCTACCAGGGCAAAGCCAGGATGATGAAATTCCAAGCACTACAAGAACATCCTGAAAGGTGCCCAGAAAAACACAGCCAAGGCAGAAACACTTTAGAGCAACCTACAGAAACGCCCAAGCCTATAGGGATGCTGGGGAGGGACTCTTCCTTAGGGGCTGTAGTGACAGGACAAGGGGTAACAGGTTCAAACTGAAACGGGAAGTTTAGATTGGATATAAGGAAGAAGTTCTTTACTGTAAAGGTGGTGGGCACTGGAATATGTTGCCCAGGGAGGTTGTGAATGCTCCATCCCTGGCAGTGCTCAAGGCCAGGTTGGACAGAGCCTTGGGTGCCATGGTTTAGTGTGAGGTGTCCCTGCCCATGGCAGGGGGGTTGGAACTGGATGGTCTTAAGGTCCTTTCCAACCCTAACTGTTCTATGATTCTATGATTTGAAACCCATCGCCTGCCCTCCCCAGGCAGGGGCGATGGACACAAGCCAGCCACTGCTGCCCTGCCAAAGCCTGGCTGCCGATAAGAGAAAGCCTCTTATCTCTGCCCTCTCCCTCCTGTACATACAGCCTGGCCCTGATGCTCTGCAGGAGTGCCAGGCCTGCAGAGCCTTGGGTTGGCAGCAGCCACGTTCCCTTGCTCAGCGGCGCTTTGCAGTATTTTTAGCCCTCCTGACATTAGAAAGGTGTGACAAGAGCACAAAGACAGACCTGATTCGGCACGTGTATAAAAGGGACAAGGGGCTGCCCTTTGCAAGCCTCGAGGAGCTACGGCTGCGTGTGAGCAGGGTGAGTAGGAGCATCCCCACCTTGCAAAGGCTTTGCTGGCTCTAACGTTACCCCCCTTGCACGCTGCTATGGGTCTCTCCTGGTCCTGTCACCACAATGGAGATAATTTCCCAGGGTTTTATCACCCTTCTGCATTTATTCCCATCTACTTCCTTGCCTGTGCCATAGCAGACAAAGTGACACATCCCCATGTGGTTTTGCTTCGGTGGCCTCCTTATGGTCCTCCCACTGTCTCCTGACCACTTCTACCTTCCTCATCTCAAACCCTCTGCACCCCAAGAGCTATTTTGCCAGCTCAGCACTCCCCAAGGCATTTCCTTTCCCTTCTCCATCCATTGCCAGGCTGGTTACCATGGGAAGACTGCTGCCTCTGTTTGTGTTGTGGAGGTTTTCCACCCAACTTGTTATACCTCTAAGCTGCAGTTACTGCTCATAAAGACAGCAATTCCTGTGCTCCCAACACTGAAGCTGCATGAGCCGCCAGCATTAATGTTGTCTGGGGTACTTTAAAATTGCATGTGTCTGCTTGGAACGAAATGCCTGCCTGGGAATGTGAGTCAAGAGCCTGCTGATAGCACAGCCATCCCTGGGAAGGCAAGGGGTCCTTCTATTCAAACCCCAGCAGCAGCCAGCCCTTCTCCCTTCTGTGCCTGAGCCCTCTGCAGTGGTACCCCGAGGTGAAACATCCCCTCTGAAGCTGGCGTTTCATGGATTAACGTGTCACCATCTCCAGGGCACTATGGGATGTGGGGAAGGGGCTGGCCAAGCTGCAGGTGCAAGTAGAGGTTGCGCTAAGATCAATGCTCTCAAAGAACCGTTGTCTACAACCATGGATTAAATCAGTGGGGAAAGTAAGGAGGCAGCAGTCCCCTGCTATTGTCTTCTCTGATTATTGGCAAGCAGTGATTTAGGGATTTTTGAGGTAGGGGCTGTGTGTGAAGCATCGTGATTAAGTCACGGGGGGAGGAAAGTCTTTAGGCTAATATCAAAGTGGTGTTTTTCCTTAAATTTCTTTGAAGCCATAAATACAGAAGTGACATGGATTTGAAATAAAACATCCAGTTCAAACCCAAGGAAAAGCGCTCAGGTTAAGAAATAAAACCAGGGAAGTGAGGATTTCTGTATTTTCTGTCATCTGGGGAAAAATGGGCTTTCCCAGTATTTCTAAGACCTCATCTTCCACCCCAGTGCCAGAATCATAGAATAGTTAGGGTTGGAAAGGACCTTAAGATCATCCAGTTCCAGCCGCCTGCCATGGGCAGGGTCCCAAGCAACTTACTCCCTTCCCAAATGACATACAGGAAAGCAGCACAGAAAGCACAGCTATGGAAAAACTTGGCTTAGGCCCCCCCAGTCCCTCCAACATGGGGTTCACTTTGCAGAGCAAGCTCTGCCAAAGCAGAGGAAGGCCTCTGGCATCTGCTGGGGTTTATGTTGTGTTGAGTTACCATGCCCCGGTTCACGTCAGGTAACGACCACGGAGGGTTCAGAAGTGGCCTCTTATTGCTCACTTGGGAAGTGGCAGACAAAACCCCTCTCTGCCTGTGACAGCAGGTGTCTGGGGATGGGAGAGCAGCCCAGCAGCAGCCACAGCTCATACACACAAAGACAACTTGAATGTGTTGACAGCAGGGCACGAGCAAGTCCCTTTGGGCTCAGATGTGGTCTGAGAGTAAATAGAGAACGTACAGGCTTGGTGGGCTGTACAAAACCCTAGTGGCAGTGGGGTGGTTTGGCTCTGATATGGCTGTCCTACAGAGAACATCCCGTACACCTGTATAGGGGATATCCTCCCTTTGGGGCATCCTCTGGTTATCCCAGCATCCAGCACTGTATTGATGCTGTTTGCATTATCTCAACATTTGAATGTGCGTGCATGTACTAATAGGAGTAAGTGTCATGATCTCATAGCCCTCTGGTCCTACCTTTGCAACCCTCAATCCCAAGCAATGAGGAGGGAAAACCAAGGCAACAAAAAGAGGGATGAGCGACATCCCGTTTTCCTGGAAGAGCGAGGCCAGTGCCTCAGTGTTGAAAACCCAGCCTGCCTCCTCATGGGAGAGGCTGCATGAATGCAGACAGTGACATTTCTGGGCTACACTAAGTGGCTCACAGCAGGCTCTGCTGTTTGCATTGCACAAATAGTCATTTTATGATTAAAAACAACAACAGCCAAATAGAAGCTAAACCAAGATAAAACTAATGGGCGCCGTGCAGACGTTGAGGGCGTGCAAGAGGCTGGCTCTCCCCACAGCTTTAACCCAAAGCCCTCATCAGTCCTGGATTGCACCTTTCCTTCTACTTGTTCACGTTTTCCTCCTGCAAGCTTCTAAATCAACATACCTGCATTTCCAGGGCAAAGCAGTCATGCAAAGAATGACATTTTAATGCAGAACCTGAATGCAGAAGAGAATCTGAGCAAAGCAAAAACATCCTGGGTGGGAGGTGGGAGTTCTCCTAAAGGAAAGATTTCCTGGAAGATGTACACCTCTGAAGCACTAAAACACTGAGTCTATTAGTTCTTTGCTCTCCTTGATTCCTGGCCCTGGAGGCAAGGAGGAATACTACGTGATTAGTCCTAGTTTCATGTAGGGAAACTGAGGCACCCACCCATTCTCTGCACTCACTTGCAGACCCTTCTGACACAGCTAAATGTCTCCTTGCTTTTCGTTGTGAAAGGAATAACCCTGATTTTCCCATTCCCTTACAGTGCAAAGATGAACTGCTCATAGCCCACCCTGTATCTCCTACTATTCCTCTTCCCCCCTCCCCAAAAGAGTATTTGCACTTTGAAACAGGCCAAGAGCTGCTCTGTGGTGTTTCCACCCCACTGTACTTCTGGAATCAGGAGAAAACACAATGCTTTTGGGTAAACCCAGCTGGCCAAATCCTGATCTGCTGTAATTAACCGTATAGACAGGCAGGCTCTGAAGCAATCAGTGCAGGGCACATTCTTCTCTTGAAACCATCATCTCTCTTTCCATCCACAGGCCTCCGTGGTTTCATCACCCGCTTACCCACTGCCCACATGAAGACCAGCTATGACAGAGGCAAGTCATCCAAATCCCAGACTACCAAGGCAAACGAGACGATTCCCTCCTGTTGCTCCAGGAACGGCAACCACCACGAAGAGCAAACCCAAAGCACATCAGGACAGGCCCATCCCAAGACCCAGGGAGGAAACACGGTGCCATCCCAGAGAGCAAACACGCTGCCTGACTGGAGGGAAGCTCGGAGGTCAGATGTCTGCAATGGCAACTTTCCCTTGGGACATGGTTCTGATGAGACCTCAGAGAAACTCCCTCATGGAGTCACCAATGCAAACAAGGAGGGGGTGCTAAAGAAAGGCTCAACTACACAGAAAGCAAGAGATGAGCCCAAGGATTCCCCTTCCAAAGCAGTTTTCATGTTTTGGGCTGACAAAGTGAACAGCAGCAAAAAACCTACCTTCCAAAAGTCACCCGTGACTGCAGGAAGATGCTCTTCAACCCAGCATCCCAAGGAAGGGATTAGCATCTTGGGAGGAGAGAAGCAGGCTAAAAGTCCCCAGAGAAAGACCAGGAGAGAATTCTTCTCTGACTCGAAGGTTTTCAGCCACATAGACACCCACGTCCTACACGTGAGCCAGCAGGTAGGTCCTGGTGTCCTTCAGCATGAGCACAGATGGTGCCATCAGCACATCCAGCATTTCACCGTATGCTCTGATGACAGCAGTGACAAGGTGGTGCCTTACAGCGAAACCAGACTATCTCACAAGGGCTGAGAATTGGTCATAACCATGGGCAAAGGTTCCTATGCTGCTGCTCAAGATCTGCTGCCCAGCCAGGGCCCACTGCTGCCCGTTTCCAGCATAGTTGCAATATGCAGCACTTGCTGCAGCTCATCATGCAAACCTGGGAATAAAGGCTGGTTTCACCATGGGACAGGACCTTGTCCCAAACAGGATCCCAGTGTGGGAGGGGGACCCTGGAAAACCTTATAGGAAGGGTGCAAGGGGTAGACGAAGGGACTCAGGATGTCCCAGGGTATGTTTAGTTAGCCTGGGAGCTTGTAAGCCAGCATCCTTCCTGCATGTGGAGCCAGCAATAACCACACGGGCTGGCCACATCCACCAACCCCTTTATATCTGCGGCAGCCCAAGGAGGAGGCATCAGTTGTGTGTCCTCTTTTCGGGCTGTTTGCAGTTTTACATCTCTCCTGCTTTGTGGATGCTCAGGAGCCCAGAAGGAATTCTTCAGTTCCTTCCTGTTACCTGAACCATGTGCAGTCCAGGGCCAGCAGGATTTGGCTAAGCAGGGAATGCTGAACCAATGCAGTGTTTGCAGCTTACAGGTCAGCTCATTATGGAGAGTGAAGAGGCACAAGCATAATTGTGCTCTCTATTATTGTTGAAAACTGTAATTTGTACCTAGCCTGAGGCTAATCTCCCTTGGGAAGAAGGATGCTTGAGGATTTCAGAGTCTACCTATTCTATTGAAGAGAACAGAGGGGGAGGGATTTGGAAGATAGGAAAAAGAGGATAATAAACAACCAAAAATACCTCCAAGGCAGAGGGAAGCCATGGGAACAACTTGTTTCCCTGTTTATTGAGAGTGCTGGCTGCACTAAAACCTGGTGCTCTTCAGCTCTTCCTCTGAGCCACGAATACTTGGTGCCAAGAGCAGCAGTAAAGCAGTTTAGTGACCACCTATGAGTAGGGTATTGAACATCTGGTGACTGCTGCTTGGCCAGCAGTGCCATGGGGGTACTTTGTCCCCTTTTCCCATACACCAAGCCCTGCTGCCAGTCCCCTCGGAGAAGGTGGTTGATGGGAGAGCCCCAGGCAGCGCAGGCACAGAGCTGAACCTGTGTCCTGGCCATTTGGGAGTAGCCTGCAGGCTGCTTGCATGCATCCATCTTAACCCTATGAGAAAGTCTTGTCAGGAACATTGCCTGGGTGGGTTTGGGGAAAACAGCTCCATCCTTAAACTCCAAACACACTGGTGCAGCCGGCAGCTAATGCAACCTAAGATGCTCTGACCCAGGGTCCTCAGGCATGGTCAGGACCAGGATCACCTGGGAACATTGCAACTCTCAGTCTAGGACCTACTTTTACCACCTCTGAAACAAAGAATTGCATTGGCTTGGGCTGAATTTGCACCAAGATGTGCAAACAGAGAAGAAGGTAACGAGGTATTTAACGGCTGAGTATCATTTTTATCCCTTTGGGAATAAGTCCCTTTGTCTGCTAAATGCACACTGGTAACAACCTCGTGTAAGCACCATCGTTTTGACCTAGGTGCTCTCCTGACTGCACTGATGTTTTTAAACCAAGGAAAATCTTTGGCCACTACAAAAGCAACATTTCCCACAAGCAAAAAAAAAAAAAAGGAAAGAAATTTCCATCGCTGTGAAGCTATCTCACAGATGGTTGGGGCAGGAAAATCACTGAGGAATGAAACAGCAGGGGAAGGACGTTGGAGAAACGAGCTGGACTATATTTAACTCCCTGAGAGAAAAGCCCGCTGCTAAAAATGTGCTATTACAAAGGAGGGAAGAGCCCAGAAATGTGAATGCATGAATGGGAGGAAAGGGGCAGAAAGGCTTTGTTTGGGGTCAGGTATGGTTTAAAAAGTGAGATTGCAGTGGTAAGGGCAAAAACCTTTCCACTCTTGGTGCGTGGGTTTGAGTGAGTTTGCGCAGCCTCAAGAAGGGCAACTGGGTCACAAGTGTGACTCTTCTGCATGAATACACTGAGTGTTAATCAGTGCTGGCTGGAAAGCTGCTGTCCTCAGTTAAGCCTTGCAAAGCAGCACCACTGGGAGAGACCCACCTCTAGGACACGCTGATCTGGACAGGGAGGGCACCAGAACAATGGCATTGTACGTCCCACCCAGCTGCTCCAAAGGAATGGGAAATGCCATCTCCATTTCCTCCAGCCCTCAGGTATTTATGAAGCCTAGGAAAAGGGGAAAATACCCTGTTCCACCACAAATGGTATTTTTCTGTTCTAAATTCTGGGGAGGGAAACGCAGCTTTGGGGTTTTTGTGGTGCACATTCTCTTACCAGCCAGTGCACCATGCGGAGCAGCCATCCACCCACAGAGCAGTCACCCACCCAGATTCCCTCTAACTCACCCGTCCTCTCCATTGCAGCTGAAGTCCGGGCACTCCACATTATCCATCCAGGCCATCGTTCCCTTGATCACTGCTCAATCCCAGAGCAAACTGGAGACACTGCGGGCAATATGGTTCTGGCTCTGCCACAACATTGGTAAGTCAAGTCTGGTCCCACTGCTTTTAAAGAGAGGTGACAAGTCCTTTCTTTGTGTCACCGCCTGGATTTAAGCTCTTCATGCCCTGCAGAATAGAGACTCCACAATACTCCTGTTGTTGAATGAGCTGGAATGATTCCCTTTTGAATTCAGGGAAGTGCCTGGAGTAGGAACTGGTTCCCACTATGGCATCCTTCATCCTGGAAATGGCACCTTGCTTCATTGGCACATAGGTCCAGCCTCCTGGAGACACCAGCAAAGCTTACCTGCCTCCGGTGCACCATCAGAGGCTGTTGACAATGTGCGTTTGATGAGGCTGAACTAAGCCTGTTAGCAGTCATCTGGGGACACAGGAATCTCAGCACAATGCAGTCGCTTTGTGCTGCTTGACCCTACTACATCCATGTGTGCAAGACAATGTGACTGTCACTGTACCTCAGTTGAATGGCACAAAGGCTTTTTACATGAGCTGGGAACCCAATTCCCCCAAGGCTTTGGCAATTCTTTGCTCTTATAGGGAATTGTCAAGCTCTCGGATAATAATGGATAGAAGAGCAGTCATGGCTTCCAGGGTGGGTAAGCAGAGAAATAGGGTTGGGCAGGAGAAGGAATGGGATTGTTTTGGAAATAATAAGCCTGAAATTGCATGGTATTCTGTCTTTCCTAGAATATGATGTGGATGGATTCTTGGGACTGTCTCAGAAGATTCACATGCCAGAGGAGGTCCTGCAAACAGGAAGAGCGGTGTGCTCTGGTTATGCCCATTTGTGCCAGGAAATGTGCAGGTAAAACTCACCTTGGGTTTTCTTCTCCTGCCCCCTTGAAGAGCTGAGGTGAGGATGTACATCTGGCATGGGGCTTGCCATTCAACCAGGATTGTTTAGGTACCACATCCCCAGGCACAGCAGCTGCCTCTCTCCAACTCTGCTTGGATGGAGGGGTGCATATCTGTCCTATGGAGCCAGGCTGAGAGAGCTGGGCTGGGGCAGCCTGGACAAGAGAAGGCTCCTGAAGGGGAGACCTGAGAGCAGCTCCAATGCCTGAAGGGGCTGCAGGAAAGATGGAGAGGGGCTTGGGACAAGGGATGTAGGGACAGGCCAAAGGGAATGGCTTGAACCTGCCAGAGGGGAGACTGAGATGAGCTCTTAGGCAGAAGCTCTTCCCTGGGAGGGTGCTGAGGCACTGGCACAGGGTGCCCAGAGAAGCTGTGGCTGCCCCATCCCTGGCAGTGTTCAAGGCCAGGTTGGACACAGGGGCTTGGAGCAAGCTGCTCCAGTGGAAGGGGTCCCTGCCCGTGGCAGGGGGTTTGGAATTGGAGGAACTTTAGGGTCCCTTCCAACCCAAACCAGGGTGGGATATCTCTTTGACAGATTAACCAGGACCAGAGATAGGAGGAATGAAGGTTGGGAGTAGCTGTGGGGAAAGCATGGGGCTAGATACAAGCTGCATTGGGCCACCACCAGCTTGCACAAGCAGGGCCCTGGCTTTAAGAAGGAGATGGCAGTCACCATGCAGGCTGGGCTGCTCTCCAGGGCAGCAAGCACAAAGCAGGGTTTGGGCTGCAGTTCCCTCCCATGCTGGCTCTCCCTGGGCAGGGAAGCAGGATTGAGCTGCGTGCAGGTCCCAGGGTTTGGCCGGATACCGGGATCCCGTGGAGGCCGGTGGTGCCAGCAGCAGAAGAGCAGCCACATGTGGAACGCGGTGGAGCTGGAAGGACAGTGGTGCCTCCTGGATGCTTGCTGGGGCGCAGGGACCGTGGATGCAGAGAACGGGTTGTTCATGCCCAAGTAAGACCCCTCTTCCCCTGGCATCGCATGAGACGTGGTCCCCAACACAAACGGGCAAGGCTCACCCTGGCTTGGGATACACCTCAGAACGGCCACCCCAACCCTTCAAATGCTCCTTGAAGTGTGGGTTCACCATCCCTTGAGCCCTTATTTCCAAGCACCCTCCTAGGTGCTACTCGCAGAAGGACCAGAGGGCTCTGCTCACCCTCAGCAATGATGGGTGCTCAGGGACCTCGTGCAAACGTGGACCACCCACAGGCACCCACCTCCATTAAGTCCCTTATTCCCTGAGCTGGGGCAGTAATTTTTCAGATGATAACTTCTCCCCTGCAACTTGTTTTTAATCTGCAATGAGTATCACTTATGAAGTAACAAATCCTCATTTTCACAGCACCTTCGCTCTGATGTGCCTCCATATGTAATTACTTGAGATTTCTCGGCCCATGCTAAGCAAATAATGGCTCTCATGAAATTTATTTGTACAATTTAATAATTCCCATTAACTGTATTATGGGATTGTATTTTTTTTTTCCTCTAATAATGCATAATGAAATAATTGTGCAATTTCTAATAGGTAATTATCTTGCTGAGAACAGCTTAAAACACCAGTGAGTGTGGGTTGTTTTTAGATGAGCATGGGGAAAAGAGGAGAGAGAGAATGAAACCTCACCTAGAGCAACTGGCAGGGATAATAGCTTGTTGTGGGTCCATCACAGAGTCCTTAAAACCTTCAGCCATGCAAAATGGCTTCATGGGATGACCCCCATACAAGGCTGAGGAGGAATCTGGACATTGATCCACTAAGCCAGCACCTTAGCAGGGGTGATGCTTGGAAATCAGGTTAGGATCATTCAAACTGGAACCAAGCTGCATTTTGTTTCTTAAATCATATATAAATCGTTGGAAAAGCTTTAAAGCAAGATCAAACATCGTATTGGAATATATCCTCAAGTGACAGGCCTTGGTAGAGGAATCACCCCTCTGCAGCTTATAGGGTCATCTTAACAGGTTGCTGGAAGAGCCCTGGTACAGGGCTGGGAGCTGCACTTTCAGCTCTATGGGGAAAATAGAGAGAAAATAAGGACAGCAGAGAATGAAATGCCAAATGAGAGCTTGGTCCTCCCTTGCTGATGTTGGTGCAGCCCTGATGGTATGGAGGGAGCTCTCTTCCCTTATAGTGATGCATCATGATTACTGGGGATGCTGAGTGTTTTCTTGCTCCTTCCATAGCGTCTTCTCCTCTCACCTTGCAGGCATGATGACTTTTTCTTCCTTACTGACCCTGAGCACTTCATTGAGACCCACTGGCCAGAGGACCCCCAATGGCAGCTTCTGCAGCCCCCGGTCTTGCAGGAAGACTTTGAGCAGAGAGTGTTTAAAACATCAGAGTTTTTCAGACTCCAGCTCTCCCTCCTTTCTCCAAACACTTCCCTCCTCCAAACAGGTAAATACATAAGCGAGGGATTAATTTGGGTTATAGAAAAGCTCAATTGCTTTTAAGAAGTTAGTTTGGGTTCAGGAAAACATTTCTCCTCCAGAAGTGGCCCATCTGTCTATTTTTATGCACATGTTTAACATCTAACGGAGCAGAAGCACATATTTAAGCCACTTCTGAAATCACGGCCATTGTGTGATGCTGTGATTAGTAAACTGGGAATTAGGCTTCGTAAATTATAGCTAATTGAGTCAAATCGCTTAAGCCCTTTTGAGCCTGGCTTTTCCCATCAAAATTCACCAACAGTAGCAAAATAGCTTTGACATTACCTGAGATAGAGCTCTCCTCGTGTTCAGAAGCTGGGGAGAGAGACTCACAGATAAAGCACGGCCTCAAATGCTCATGTCCCAGTTGGAAAATGAAGGGAGGGGGTGGCCGTGGTTTTCCCTGATTGTAGTTTTAGGTTGGATAATACATGATCTTCTTCTAACCTGGACATTCATTATACATCCATTCCCTTAGATAGCCCCAGGATTATATGGATTCTATCAAGAGATAAAGCAATGTCAGATTGAGGGGAGTTGTTGGGTTCACAGAAACTATGACAGAGCAGGCACACTGTAAAGCTTTGGACCAAGAGACGTTATTGCTTACCCAGAAATCAACCTCCTCCAGTGTTTCCAGGCTGCTGGGGCTTTGTTAAGATGGGTTGTCGTGCACTTCTGGAGCAGCAAATGGTATGTGGAAATCAAATTAACTTGGGAACGGCTGAAAGGTCGATGCTGCCTTTTATGCAAAGCTCTTGTAGTGCATCCCCAGTGCAGAACCTCAGAGCATCCTGTGGAGGGGATTTTGTCTACCTCTACCCAAGGTCACACAGCAACTACGTGGCAAATGCAGGGATGGAGGCTTGGAGAAACCCCTTTCAGGGCCAGGTCAGCCGGGAGGCTCCAGGGAATAAACCCAAACAACACAGTGTCTGCGGTCTGAGAGGAAAAACAGACCAATAGTGCAAACAGCCCCTTCATCTGGGTGCCAAAGCGGTAAATTGCAAAACATAGGCTCTCACCAAACATCATTAGTGGTGGTGCAAAAGCCCAAAGGGAAGAATAAGGGAAAATAAGTATTTCATCATTCCCTCCCCTCCCTGACCCAGCTTTTGATAGCTAAAAGTCAACGGGGTGAAGCCCTGAAGTAGTTCAGGGCTTTAGAGCCTTGCTGGCCACTTGCTGCCTTGAGCCAAAATGGATCTGGGGATTGATCATAGAATCACAGCATGGTTTGGGTTGAAGGGACCTTAAAGCTCATCCAGCTCCAACCCCTGCCACGGGCAGGGACCCCTTCCACTGGAGCAGCTTGCTCCAAGCCCCTGTGTCCAACCTGGCCTTGAACACTCCATCCACCTTGGTCTTGTCACGGAAGAGAACCCACCTGGCACATCCCAGGTACATCCCTCCTTTTACACCCCCTTGGCTGGGGGAACTCCTGTCCCTAAACTCACAAAGCTGGGCTGGCTACAGGCAGTTTTCCTTCTGACCTCCAAATCTGAGATGAAAGGAGATTTTTGCATTAGAAGAGGGCGGGAATGAACTGTATTCCTGGCCCTAACCTGCACAGTTTAACCTCTGCAATTCACCTCAACAACCAGCCCCATATCAGAAGCGTGCTTAAAACCCTGATTGTGAATCAAACCTGGCATTTGCTTTTGTTGAGGCAAATCACGGTTGTGTTGTTCTAGGTTGATGGAATTAAGCCATCACCTTACAGGGCACACTTAAACATCTAAAGCAATCTCTGCAAAACTGCTTTAGATCTTTGGTACAGAGTCAGCCTATATTTCCTCTTTGGCTACTGTGGATCAATTCCTGCTCCCTCCTATTTGAGCAGCTCCCATCTGATTAAAATGCCAAGATTCCTCCCACAAACGACTGATGGGAGCTGAAGGTGGGACACTTTGTGAGGGGACCTGATTTTCAGGACATACTTGGCACCCATCCTTTGGAAACCCGGCCCTTTGAATTGCTAACATTGTCCAGGCTGTTAGAGTCGGAGCAGCGGTGACGGGCATTGAGTCCTATGGAATTAAGACAGTGTAAGATAGAGGGTTTTGTATAGGAGGCAGTCATTGGTGGCATGCTGTAGATACAATAGCTAGGGTGGGAGAGGGAAGGGAAGCCTTTTAAACAAGGCTTTGAGAAATTAGAAACATGCCTGTACTTTAATGGTGGTTTCCCCCCCAAACAACTAATGCAACATACATTGACCTCCTGCAGCACTGAGGCTGCTGACGTGGGAACACATCCCCAGCTTCACCTGGAAACCAGGGATCTCCAGTGCATGGCTTCAATTAGCCCAATGAAACAAAGAAGTGTTTGTTTTAAACCTAGCCATCCATTATCTCCTTGGGTCTCCTTCCCAAAGCAAAATGCATCGCTGGCTTTCCCTATCTCCCCATCGCTGGCTCCGCTGCATACAATGTTCTGTTCTTTTCTTTCTTCCTAAAGCTCCTAACACGATGCAGCCGGCCAGGCCAGCAGCTTCGGAAACTAACATAGGGAGAATTTAATAACAGGCAAACCTGCAGTTAATAAAGTCTGTCATCAGTAATGTCTCCACTGAACACTTGCCAGGGGAGAATTGTTTGCACTTACTGTGCGAGCCAAGTCACAGCTTTAACAGGCGAGGCACAAATAAAAGCCAGCCTCCCCATTCTTTTCACGTCTCTTTTTCAACCTACCAACAAAAACTGCGGGGCAAACAATGAAAAAATCCAGATTCAAACAGAATTAACTAAGAAAAAAGAAGAGTCGTTGTGTGTCGTCCCCGTCCCCCCGTTATTCATTAGATTATGAAATCCGTTTCATAATCTAATAATTAGCAAGGGACCATTTTTTCAGCATGAAGCTGGAGTCTTTGTGTCATTCTGTGTTAGCACCCAAAACAAATGAGCATTGTGCACAGCACGGGTGCTGATACCAACCATGGGCTCCCGCCGTGCCATCGCTCTATTCAACCCTCAACCATGGTGAGGATGGGGACGATGCAGAGCAGCCCCACACTCTGGATGGGAGACAAGCCATCCTTGGGCACTTGGGACCTTGGGTAATGAAGTGCAGGCTCCATTTGCACAGACCTTCAGGATGGTGGGCTTAAGCACGCATCCCTATGCCAGTGCCAGGCTCTGTGAGGAGCTCTGGGATCCTTCCAGGGTAAAAAGACTCAAAGTCTTGTTCTGCTGTGGCCACTTTTCTCATGCTTTCATCTAAACCTGGAGGAAAAAAGGTTCAAAGGACCATTAAACCAGGGTTTTCTAGCCAGGATGCCCCAGTACCTGCGGCTTCACATGGGATGATGTAGCTCACCACGTGCTGAAAACAGCCTGCTGTCTGCTGGTTGCACAGCCCCTTCTTCAGGGCTTGCAAAACCTTGCCCTGTCTCCACTGCAAAATCAACCAATTGCCCCTTCTGCCCAGCAGCAGATGGGAATCCCTTGGGAGCGCTTGTTGCACAGGGAATTGCCCTCTCTTGCTGTGGGTTTGTAAGCAGCAAGATGTGAAACATGGAGGGTGGGAGTGAAACCAAGGCCCCCACGACTCCACTTCTGGGTGTGAAGGTGGGCTCAGATTGGGTTTGAAGGCTCGTGCAGTGCTCAACCTGAGGGAGCAGGAGAGCATAGAATAGAATCATAGAATGGTTAGGGTTGGAAAAGACCTTAAGATCACCTAGTTCCAACCCCCCTGACATGGGCAGGGAGATTATGTCCACTCAAAGAGCAAAAGTCACTGGGAAAGAGCCCCAGCACTTATCTACCAACCATGGTACCACCACCAGGCAGCCATACCAGGGCACCTCTCCTTTGGTTCTCCTTTTCTCCTTGGTTAGCACACACTCCAAGTTTGTGGATTTCTGTGATTTGGTGAAGAAAACACTCAGGAAAAGTATTTTAATGCTAATAAATGGGGAAAATGAAATTCATTCCTAAAACTGTGGCAGTGATGTGGGATCTCCTACCAGCCAGGCTGGGTTACTTTGATCCTCCCAGCTGTTTTACTGGTTTGACACCACAGTGTAAGACCTGCAGCTTAGAGGAGTTACTCCAGCTCAAGAAGCCATGCAAGAGTTACCCTGTATGGGACATCATTAGCTTAGTTTCAGATGTCTCAGGGTCCAAACACTTATCTGGGCCTGTCCCTTTCAGATCTAATGATATCATCATCCTTCTTTCAGCAGGAGTTAAAAAGTAGTAAAAGGTGGAGTAGGCAAGAGGCAAAAAGAAGGAAAATCAGGTCTCTGTCTGCCCTGCAGATGATCTGGTTCAACACTGTAAAAGTGAATGTGTTACTGCTGCTGAAGGGGTTGTAAAAGGTGTTTGTTCACTCTTTACAGCCCATGGGGAGGTGTCAGTGACGCTGGGGAGCATGCACCCAACAGAGTTCACCTACCAGCTCTCCAGACTCCAGGGTACCACAGCCGAAGAGGATGTAAGCGCAGATCATGGGATGATGGTGATGTCCGAGCACAGGATGACCATCAGGGTGACTCCCCCAACCGAGGGCCTGTTTGACCTCATGATCTTTGCTCGTCATGCTGACTCTCGGGATGCTTACAACTGGGTGTGCTCCTATCAGATCCAGTGCCTGGAGCCACACAATGGAGAGAAACTGCCCGAAAACCCTTTTCATTTCTGGGGGCTTCACCAAAAGCTGAGAGATTTTGGCATCAAGGAGAGCAGCCACAAAGGGGAGCTGCTTGTTGCATCAGAGGGAGCTTTGCTCTTGACTCTCCAGACATCCCGACCCTTGCTTGCTATGTATGAGCTGGTTAATAAAGACTTAGACACTGCTTTGAGCAAGAAATGCCTGGCTGCTCAAGCTGAGGAGGACAAGCTCAGTTGCCACGTGCTCTGCCCTTTCCAGGGTTACTACCGGCTCTCTGTGTTCGTGAAGGATGTAGGAGGCATCACATTCAGGAACGTGGCCAATTTCCTCATGTGCTGCTCAAGGCCCATCAACCAGAACGAGCTCTTCCCCTTGGGGCTGAGCACGCATTGCGGGAGCGGGATCAGCTCCAGCAGCCATGGCCTCTCCAACCCCAGCCATTCAGCCCCCATCATCACCACCAAGGTGGGGAAGTGCAACATCACCTTCCACACGACCGCTGATGTCGAGGTGGCCGCCAGCTTGAGTAAGGACAAAGTCATCAGCACCAAGTACCCGTTGGAGAGATACGTCCTGGTCACCCACCTAAGGACTAAAGTCAGTGTGTGTGTTGTGCTCCCTGAGTCAGGCATCTATAAAGTGGGGCTTTATGGGAGAAGCAAGGACCACAAGGACTTTGTCCATGTTTGTGACTATGTTGTACGCTGCTTCTCTGATCCCAGTTGGCCTCCCTTCCCCAAGGTCTACAGCTTATGGAGGACAGGGTGCGTGTTGCTAGAGCCACGCACAGGGGTGCTCCAAGAGCAGAGCTGGGTCCGGTTCAGGGTCAAGGTACCAAAAGCCAACCAAGCTGTGGTCATTGGGCAAGAGAAGACGGTGCTGCAGCAGGCCACGAACATGGTGTGGGAAGGGGATGTGCTCACTGGGGCTGCAGGGACACAGGTCAAACTGGCCGCCAAGTTCAACCAGCACTGCTCTTCCCTGGAGGTCCTCCTGGTGTTTGAGGTGGGAGATAGCTCAAATGCTGCCCTTGGGTGTTCGGGGTAAACCAGGGAAGTGATGGAAAGGGCTAAAAAAGCCAGGGAAGGAAACAAACGCTCTCAAAACAAGGATGTTGAGGAGATGGGGGCAAAACTCCCAGAACTTTACAGCGTGTCAGGGTGAAACCAGCAGAGCTTTTCTTCCCACAGGATATCCAGATACTCACTGGGACCTCCTATCCCACTCCGAGCTGTTGCCGCCGTATAAATCAGCCGCAACATATGGAAGGCTCCTAATATTTTGCTTCTGTCTGAGGAGACCATTGTTCAGCTTCTCTACAGGAAGGATGTCTCACTGCTTATTACCAGCTTGAATAATTGCTTGGAATGTTGTACTTGACGTTGATTCAAGAACTTGGAAAGCCGCGTGGTTTCTTTCTCTTGAGAGGATAACAGCCACAACAACCCTGAAACATCCCAGACCAAAAGAAAAGAGCCCAAACTGGAGCCAACAGCTTCAGATGGGAGCAAGGTTTGAAAAACATAAATATCTAGTAAAGGAAATGAGAGCTCCTTGCAGATGGGCTCTGTGCTTGGGCAGAAGAAAGGGGAAAGGAAGTAAAGAGGTGCTGTATTTTATCATCTATGTCTTTAAAACGTCTTCCAGGTCTGCATTATCAAGGAGGACATGGAGATATACGGACTTATGAGCATTAAGGGCTTGAAACAAAGACAAGGAACAGGCAAGAAATCAGCTCTGTAACCAAAGCTGAGCCAAAACACTGAGCAGAAAGCACTTGAACTCTGACACATGCTGCAAGACACCACAAGCACCAACCTACTGACAGTAAACTCAATGTTCATACATTAACGGGCTTGAAGATACACATGGAAATACTTCCACATGCCTGCAGTGGACTGATGCTTGAAATGGGGATCCTGGCTGCAATAATGACTCATAGAACCCCAGGCTGGTTTGGGTTGGAAGGCTCATCCAGTTCCAATCCCTGCCGTGGGCAGGGACACCTTCCACTAGAGCAGGTTGCTCCAAACTCCATCCAACCTCATCTGGGGCTTTGAAAAAGAAGAACCAGAACTATAGGTTATTTTTGGATGCTATGCAAATGATAGTGGGGCAGCAGGGTCTGCTTTCTTCAGGTTTGGCAATGTAAATTTGCCTTGTAGCAAAAAGTCAAGCAGATTTGAACCATTTATGGGCTTGGAAATCAGGTAGTGCAGCTAATACATCAGGATCCGCATGTCGCATCAGACTTGTTGGAACCATACTGACGTGTTCTAAGATTCCCCTGAAGAACAAAGTCTAAGGACTAAGGGAAGCACTTGCAGTGGTAAACGTAGGCTGAACTCTTGGCTGTGGTGCTAAACAAAGATTCAGGAAGTGCAGATCCCTAGATCTTTCACTGTTGACCAATGTTCTGGCTGCTACACATAGGCCATCCACTTGGATGGATAAGTGAAAGAGAAGTACATGACTTGGCTCTCTTCTGTGGCCTTCTACAAATGAAATATGACATAAATGAATAATGATATAAATGAAATATATGAATTATATAAATGAAATCATATAAATGAAATATAAATGAAAAAATGACAATGAAAATCTGCTCCCTGCAAGGCTGAGCAGATAATCCAGAGCACAGCCCCAAAACTCAGAGCATTTTTAAAGCTGCTGCTGGTTGGTGTTGCCCTCCAAACTCCCCCCAACAGCTCAGGACCATGCATCTCAGTACCATGATGAGATGCCCAATGGTCCTCTGACCACACCATGCTCCCTTAACAAGGGGATGCTGCTCTGCAGCTCTCCAGACCTCCTCAGTGCATCCCAACCACTTCATTCTCCACAGGCAGCACCAGTAGTGAAACCACATTTGCAGACCCAGCAGGCTCCCAAAGCCTTTATTTTTGCTTGTGTTTTGTGGAAGCATTTTGCCTTGGTGAACAAAACCATCTGACAAGTGACACGATTCCCAGGTCCCATTGCTACCCTCCTCTCTGCGTCCTTCTCCTCCCCAGTTTTGCTGTTGACGTCTATCAGCTCTGACCCTCTTGAGCCCCTTTATGTACCTATGTGTACACACACACGTTGTTAGCTGAAGCTGTCCCATCTTTGCCCAGACTGAAGCAGGCAGGTCATGATCACAAGCCTCCAAGGACAATCCAGCTTCCAGCTCCAGTGACTAATTCATCTTTATCCATCACAACAAAGTCCAGATTGGAGTTACCTTCAATTGGGATCCAAACAACTTCTGTCAGAATATAATTACCTGGAGGAGCTGAGAACTTTACTGGCACTCCCACAAGGGGCTTTTTACTTGGAGGATCTGAAGTCAATCTGCTCGGATTTCCTCTCTTTGCACACTAGGGTATAGCACGGAAGTGTTTTAAATGTCATTCTGATTTAGATTTGCGTAGCTCAAAGCCTGCACCCAGGGCTCCAGGAGCCTTCACAATAAACAGGAGCACCAGCTCTCCAAAAACAACAGCCTTGGGCAAGCATCGCTCATGAAAAAGCAATGGGAAGCAGAAGAACAAAGCCCTGTGTCTCCTCTCCTCTTGCCCCCTTTGCCCAGCAGGATTAAATTAGGTAAAGAAAGATTACAGCAGATACCTGCAGCTATAAAACACACCTAGTTCTGAGGAAACCTAGTGCAAAAAGTCCTTAGGAGGCATCCAGGTATGCATCAAACTGTGGATGGCCAAAAACCAAACAGGAGTGTGATGGGTCGACTCAGGCTGGATGATGGGTGGCCACCAAAGCTGCTCCATCACTGCCCTCGTCAGCTGGATGGGGAGAGAAAACATAATGAAAGGTTCATGGGTTGAGATAAGGACAGAGATCACTCACCAGTTACCATCATGGGTAAACAGACCCGGCTTGGGGATCCCTCTAGGTTCCTCTCTCCATGGGTCCACAGGAGTTTGCTCCAGCATGGGTTTCCTATGGGGTCATGGCTTCCATCAGGCACCCTCTGCTCCCCCATGGGCCCCCGTGTGCTGCAAGGCACAGCTGCCTCACCATGGGCTGCACCACGGGCTGCAGAGGAACCTCTGCTCTGGTGCCTGGAGCACCTCCTGCCTCCCCCTGCACTGCCCCTGGGGTCTGCAGGGCTGCTCCTCTCACATGTTCTCACTGCTCTCTCTGGCTTCAATGGCAGGCTTTTTCTCCCTTCTTAAATCCTGTATCCCTGAGGTGCTGCCATCATCACTGACTGGCTCAGCCTTGGCCAGTGGTGGGTTTGTCTTGGATCTGGCTGCACTGGGGGAAGCTTCCAGCAGCTTCTCACTGAAGCCACCCCTGTAGCCTCCTGATACAAACCGTTGCCACACAAACCCAAAAGAAGACTGAACCCAACTCTAAGACCCTTCTTGGCCGACAGACTCCCTTACAACCAATGCCAGAGCAGGGAAGACCAGGATGGACTGAACCAGAAACCTGCATCCTAAAAACGCATGTCCTTCCTAGGTATGGTAAGACAGCAATCACCATCTGGACTGAGCTTTCATCTTCCTCTATGGACCAATGTCCACCAAGCACTGGGCCCAGACTCTTTGGCTTTACCTGTGTTTTGATTGTTGTTAGTGTCACTTACGTTAACACTTAGAATCACAGAATAGTTAGGGTTGGAAAGGACCTTAAGATCATCCAGTTCCACCCCCCCTGCCATGGGCAGGGAGCACTCCTGAGCTTGTAGCAGGTGATCCTTGTTCGGGTTGAATTTATCCAATGAAGCTGTATTGTTGAGGTGTCCAAGCAAATTGTCTTTTCTTTGGCTTCTTCACCTCAGTGCTATTAAAACCTGAGATGAACATCCCTTCCAGTCTGTATCTGGACTTCAGTGAGTGTGCTGGGTGGGGAGTGAGGGTGTTGGAGTTAGCAGAAACAAATGGAGATGTGTGGTTGGGTGTCAGAGTGCAGCAAATGAACAGCAGGACATAGGATCATATCATGGAATGGTTTGGGTTGGAGAGGACCTTAAGATCATCCGGTTCCAACCCCCTGCCATGGGCAGGGACACCTCACACTAAACCATGGCACCCAAGGCTCTGTCCAACCTGGCCTTGAGCACTGCCAGGGATGAGTTAAAGCTTTCCTGTTTGTATGCTACAGTTGGGATGGATTGTATCCTCAATTCATACATGCGCATGGGTTTTCTCCATCAGGAGGTCATGCCATCATACCGTAAGTCATCAACGATCCATCTTCCACCCTTGGAGCAAGTCCTGGCTATACATATATGCTACATGTGCACTGCATGTTCATGCATGTCATGAGCCACACTGGTTTAGCTCCAGAGTGGATCTCCTTGCATCCTGGGCTGCTCTTACAGGTTCTGTATTGAGGGCAGGATCCAGCTGTGGGGATACCTTGGATATGGGGTAGGATTCACGTCTTTGAAAGACCAAGTCACATTAAATCCCTATGCATTGGCCATGTGAGTCCCACAACAAGCATCAGAACAGCACAAAAACCGCTGCACTTCGGTCAATGAGGCCAGAGAGTACGCCAGGAAAACCAGTCCTTATTGCCCAAATGTCTTTAAAATACGGGAAGACAAAGTAAAAAATCAAGTAGATTTCAAACTTTTCCTCTTTGGCTTCACAACAGGGATTTCATGGCAAAGATGCAAGAAAAATACGGGTACAGACAAGAATATAAGTAAGAAGTGTGCTTCTCAAAGCAGAGCTAAGCTCTTTCATACAGTCACAGGAGACGTGTAAGTGAGAACAATCTTGTTCAGCAAGTCCCTGAGGATCTGCCAGGGAAAACGAGTGGGAAGGATGAGGGGTTAAAGATAGTTTTCAGAGGAAGCTTGGCCATGGTTTCCTGCAGGCTGGCATGCAAGAGGGACTGGAGATAGACTTCTATGGAGGCACCGTCCTCCTCGCAGACCAGGGACACGGTGTTGATAACTCGGAGCAGAGTGGGAAAGATGAACCTGGAAAATCCCAAAAGAGAGTACGAGGATGTAGCACAAGTGGCTCTGGCTGTGGAAATCCCACTGTAAGGGTGGAAATGATGAGCAAGCACTTGGTACACGGTAGGAGAGAGACCTACCAGAGCCAAAGGCTGAAGGGAAAGCAACAAAGGGCATTTCTATAACAACAGAACCAAGAGATTAGGCTAAGCACTGGGCAAACATATCTCCCAAAGCCCACATTATTAAGGGTTTAAGCTGCAAACCCTCTTACAAAGCCATCCAAGCATGGACACCTCGTTAGCACGCTCCTGACTGCAGCCAAAGACGCTTCATTACCAGGAGCTACAAAAACAAATCACCGCAGGACTTCAGTTGGGCAAGAAGAGAAGTAACAACAACTTCCCACTGTACTGGAGCTGACCTCCTTAGGAGAGAGTGGCCAAGAGCACTGGAGTGATGAGAGAACCATTACATCACATTTCCTTGTCTTACCAATGC